ATGTTTGTGATGCCAAAATACAAAGTTTGTCATTTTGTACACATTTTAGGAACTCAAATTACCAATATTAATAAGCTAGAATATAAAATAAGAACCTCTTATCTTTTCTATTTGCTGAGATATTGCTCATGCACTGAATCAAACACAGTGGCCCCATTCACCTCTTTCCATTTTTAGTAAATGCTCCCTTATATATATATATATATACACACTTAGTTCTGTCTACGCCATGTGAATAACCAATCAAAAAGCTCAGAATATCCCTCTAGTGGCTTTCTCAACCATTTTCTAGTATTATGACATCATCTCATTTTGTCAATGCAAATCTTCATGCTGGTAAGGTGAGTCTTTAGTCTGCTTGAAATTTCGTATTTGTTTTAGACCCAAATACAGTTTAGTTACTAAGCATGATAAATTATAGTAAAGAAATTCGTTAGTGAAAATAACAGATAAAATATACAGTTTTTTGTTAATAAACATGTGATAACTATCTGGATGTTATAAAGATTTTACATGTGAACTTTGAAAATTTTCTAATGCATAAAAGTATTTTTAATCTTAAAATGAAAATTACTTTGCATGTTGAATAGGCAACATGCAAAAAGAAAAAAGCATAAGAAAAACATTGCTTTACAAACCTTAAGACTTAATAAACAAAAATCTGATATTTTGCGTAGGAAAGCCTTGTAATGTTTACGGATAATCTGCCAAATATTGTGAACATAACTAATTTAAAACTTCTAACATGAAAAGTATAACAAGCACAAAATTGTTACGAGGTTGGTCCCAGTGACCAAACTTGTGCTGAATAAGTTAATGAGCCAAACTTAGTGTTTTATCTTTGTTCCACATATAATTTATAAAATATTTTATTAACCTACTTTGTTAATATGTTTAGTGTTACAATATTATGTATTTGTGAATTTTTTATAGACCTTACTGTCATTTATTTAAATAGGTTTATGTGAAGTTAGTCCTTTCGCAAGTTCTGAACGACAGCTGCTAGTATTTCCGGGTCACAAATGTGGTAGTATACAATTAGTGGTATGTTAACACTGCCTTCATCCTTTAAGTTGTTTGGTGTAAAATAGGTGTACATTTTATATACTATTACATACCTGGTCATAGTAGTTTCTAAACATTCTAAAGCTTGTATTTTAGAAAAACAAGCAACTCCAAGAAAAAAAAAAAGAGTTTCTTTTTATCTGACATTTTGACTTATGCCTTTTTTTGAGAGTCTTTGAATATTACAGGTTAGAAGTTGATTTCTAAGTAACAGCAACCAAAAAAATAATACAGTAGAACAATACTTATTTAAATATGCTATAGTGGTTTTTTAACAAAATAGGTTTGTTGATCAAAGTAATAAATTCAATATAAATTATTTTTTAAGGAAGTAATAATAAGTACAGTAATAAACTCACATTATATTACAACAGGTTTATAAGAGCTAAGTGTTATATCTGTTAATTGAAGAAGTGATTGGATTAAATCAGAAGAGAATTGTTAAATTTACTGTCTACTAAAAATTACAGAAATTGGCTAAAATTTGAGAGTTGTCACCATTCTCAAATATGGTTTTAGTCCTTTAGTAAGCACTAAAAACTTATAAAAAAAATTGCTTAGATGTGAACAAGCATCAAATTGCAAAAGAAATATTTTTTCTTTAAAAAATATTTCCTATGTTATCTTAATTCTGTAATATTTGTTTGGCAGAATTTGCAGTAAAACATTAAATATTTTTAAAATTCATCATTCATAATAATAATATTTAAATTTTTCTTCATTAAATCACAAATTATAATTAAATAATGGTTAGATATAACTTTTCTAAATGGGTATTTTAATTTAAGGCAGACATTAATATTTCAGCTTTCAATTCTCTGCATTTTAAGAAAGATTTTTACTGTGTACATCTCATACTCTTTAAGTGTATGATGTTTCATTTTAATCTAATTTTATTTTATTTGCTTACTAACCTCTGAATTATCAATAATAAAATTTAAGTTAAAACATACTGCTTGTATTCTCAGGATCTGTCCACCACGGAACGTGGAATGTCTAGTGCTCCTTTCACAATAAGTGCTCATCAGGCTGAAATTGCTTGTATTGCTGTTAATCAACAAGGAACAATGGTTGCTACTGCTTCAAAAAAGGTATAAATAAAGATTTAATATTTTTCAAGCACTTCATTTGATTATTATAATACCTCTTAAGAATGTTGGAGAGTCATACTATTGTAACGTGGATAATATTAAGCTTGAATAAAAATTCTTAAAAACACATTTCCACTACCCTCATATATATATATAAAGTACCTTATTCTAGCTAGCTTTCAACCTGCATGAGGAGTCATAATCAGGCTTTATGTACAACATTTGTTTTTAGAATTTTCATTCTACCTCTTAAGAATTTGTGTGCCCCCAGTGGCAAAGCGGTATGTCTGCGGACTTACAACGCTAGAAACCAGGTTTCGATACCCGTGGCAAGCAGAGCACAGATAGCCCATTGTGTAGCTTTGTGCTTAACTTCAAACAAAGAATTTTTGTAAAGCAAATTATTAAGTTGATATATATATTAGGTTTGCTTGTAATTTTACTATTTTGTTTTTATGTAGGTACTCAAAATTTATTCTCCTTTTTTAAACTTTAATGCCTTTGTATAAGTTTGAATCATATAATATATATTGTGAATTTAAAGAAATATCTTTAAATAAAATAATATGCTAGGTAAAGGATTCCATTAGTACTGTAAGTTACGTATTTGTGTTGTAGGGTACATCAACGTATAATTTTGTTCATTTACATAGAAAATTCAGTTTGAATATGTTTGTTGTATGCAAACCATGCTTTTATATAATATTAGAAACTTTTCACAGCTTTATATAGTATTTATTTTACTGAAATATGTTGAGTGTTAAATTATATCATTAAAAATAATAATTTTAAATATCTTAGTCTTTATGAGCCTAGTATTTGTGACAGGAACATCGAGAGGCAACACAGGCCCGGGACAAACATCTTCGCTGGGCCCCCTTTCTCTCTCTCTCTCTCTCTC